CGCTCGGCCGCCTCCGGGCTCGGCCGGTGGTTTCCCGCGCCCCGCGCAGGCGGCTGGAGGGTTGCAACCCCTCGCGGCGGGGGACGGGGGGCCTCCCTCGGGACGCACACATCACAGCAGGGGCGCAGGGCGTCGTGGGGTCGCCTGCCGCCGGCACAGAAGCCTGCGGACCCGTCTAAGTTCTGAGGTCCTGATGCCACTTAGATTAGGTGGGGGATGGTGGCCAGGCCTCTTGAGTAGCCGCGGCTCTGGGATCCCCACTCTGGATACACGTGCGTGAGGTGCAGGGTATGCAGGGGTGACACAGCCACAGTCCCAGCCTAGAAGGCTCCAGGCAGGCGACCCCACCCTGGTCAGGGGTCTTTGGGAGCAGGCAGGCGCAGACTCCTCCCCCCCTACTCCTTCAGGGCCACAGGAATCACCTTAGGCTCTTTAGGGGACCAAAATGAAGCTTTCCAAAGCCCAGGGTCTCCTGAGGTGTGAGGGAGAGACACTCAGGGAGGCCCATGTCCCTGGCCTGGCACCTCCTGTATCTATGGGAAGTGCTGTCCCTTCTTTCAGTAACTCCTGAAGCATTTCCTACCTGTCCAGTGATGGACTGCCCCTGATGGAAAAGGTTAAGTGTTGGGGGAAGATAGGGTTGGGGCACAGGTCAGTGTGTGGCCCCTTCCTGGATCCTAGAGCTGGGCCCCAGGATCACAACCTTGGCCCCTTGAATGTCCCCGTCAGCCCACCCATGGCCACCAAGAGCCCAGCTGCAGCGTCAGGCACCCAGGGAAGGAGCAGAAAGCAGCAGGATGAGGGTTTGCTGGAATTCTTTATTGGGGTCGGGGGCGTGTGGCTGGGTACAGACCTCTGCTGGCCCCCGCCCCAGGTGTAAACGTGCGCGTCCACAGATGGATACAGGAAGATGCACAGGGTCAGCACTCTGGTGAGCTGGGGGCCAGGCTGTTTCACTAGAGAATCTTTAGTAAGAGACCGATTCCCAGGATTGGTGATGGTGTCTGAGGCTGCAGCCCCACCCTGAGTGGGAAGCCAGCGCCGAGTGCTGGACGCCTGTGGAGCTGGGCTGGGAGTGGACAGGGCTGCCTATGTGCCCCCCTCCGCCCTGCCCTCAGCTGGTGGCCAGGTCCAGCCCTGCCCGCATGAGGCAGCTCCTCTGGCTCCAGAGCCCCTCAGGAACACTCCTTGGGCCGCGTCATGCCAGGTCTGTCAGAGGATGATCCTTCGGTCCAGGTGATCCCCACGCCCACTCCGCTGATGTCTTACTTCCAGATGCTTATTTTGGACCTTTTCAAAGTGCAGCAGCAGCTCTGCATAGTCGATGCTGGGGGCGCTGGCTCGCTGGGACGTGGGGGTCGCCTTCTGACCATCCCTGGGAAGGGGCAGCAGAGGGGCTTGGGGTCAGTATATTGGCACCCTGACCACTTGTGCCTGGCAGAGGAGGGCAGCAGGGACAGGAACTCAGCTTCACTGTCTGGCAGTGCTGTTCCTAGAGTCAGCCAGGGCCCCGTGATCTCTGCATCCCCAGACCTGGGAGCCCTTTGAGCACCCCCCCTGCAGTCGGGACTAGCAGCTTGGCTGTCCCCTTCAGCCTGTGGGTTGGCAGAGGCGCCCAGTGCGGGCATGACATTGGGAAGCATTTCCTGTTTATGAGTGGCTCCCTTTGGGGTGAAAGCCAGGGCCAGCAGCCAGTCAGGAAGCCAGCTGGGGCCTGGAACAGGGTCTGGGGGAGGGGAGGCGGCCTGGCCCTTTCTCTGGGCAGGGCATCTGTTTTGAGTGTTGGGGCCTGAGGCCCACAGTCCTGCTCTGTCCCTGGGGACGGGACGGAGAAGTGTCCTCACAGCTGAGGGTGCCATCAACTCCACCACCCACCCCAGTGCTCTGCAAAAAGTTGTGTGCCACCAACTGCAACGTGCTCGCCACAATTGTGCAACGCAGCAGCCGTGCTGAACCCCACCCTCACTCAAGCCAGCATCCAGCTTGCCCTGCGCCTCCTGTTGTGCACCCTGGGAACCAAGTCATTGCGGAGCAGCTGGTGGAACTGGACTGTGAGGATGGACTCTGGGATGGCAGTGCGGCTCCTACCCCGAGGCCACCAGAGCTCCCGGCTTCTCACAGAGCTTCATGGAATGTTCTGCAGCTCCTCGCTGGCGTGGACCACACAGCTGGGGGCTGGGAGCTCTCTGCCTTCAGCCCTCCAGGGTCTAGTGGGAAAGGACTTTGGGCCTCTGAGCTCGTGAAGATAGCCCAACATGAGATTGTCAAGAGATGGAGCTGACCAGCCTATGTAACGTGACCACTTCTTAGATGACTTTGGGTTCATGACTCGGTTTCCTCATGTCAAAGGAGGGTGGCTCTGAGGATATGTGAGGGCTTGTCCTGGTGCCCAGCCCAGTTCTGAGGGTGGGCACTGTGGCCACTCTGTCCCTCTGCAGGGGGCAGGTCCAAGCCCAGCAGCTGGAGGCCTATGCCCATCAATTGTCCTGTTTTTGGGTAAACAGTATTCTGACAAATAAAACCTTACCTATGAGCTTGGCCCCTGGTGACGGCCAGCCAGCCAATGGTCAGAGCCAGGTCAGGCTGTGGGGGTGGACCAAGCGGCAGTGGGAGCCCCACTCGGAGTTGGTGGTGACCCCTCCACCCCGATGACCTCTGCCTCTACGTGCCTGTCTGCTGAAGGTCTACCACTGCAAAACACTGGCCTGTGGGGTCTGGGGCGGTCAGTCAACTTAGCTCAATAAAGATGAAATGAGGGCAGGTGGGGGCCATTCTTGGGAGCTGGACTGTGGGTGCACTCTGGGCTCTGGTCAGTGCTGGTTTCAACTCCCCTGGGAATGGAAATACTGCCACATCACAGTCACCCTGTGGCCTAGCTATGCCCTGACCTGGAGCGCTGCTGATTCAAGGAGTGGTAAGATACTGGTCAGTGCAAGCTCTCAGGCTGGGATGTGAGGCGTGTGGCCTGCAACCTCGAGCCCACAGATGACACTGATAGGTATCTGATGCTGGCTGCCCAAGGCCTGTCTCAACCCTGAAAAACGTGTCCCTCATACTCCTGGTATGCCAAGGACATTGGGTCTAGAGATTAGGGTATCCAGGGAGATGCTGGCCATGGTGGGCAGTCCCAGGGTTAATGTGTGCAGAGGTGGCCAGTGTGGGGCGGGAGGGCTGCCTGGGCTCTTTTGGTGACAAGGCCAAGGCCCCAGTGACGGGCTGTTTCCAGCCTCCCTTGGCCAGATCCTTCCTGGCCCGAGGTCTTGGGGATACAGGAGGAAAAGAGGGGTGTATCCCCATGGGGTGGTGGGCAGCTGAACGCAGAGACCAAGCAGGCCCTGCCCTATCAGGGTGGGAGTGACCACAGCACAGGCCAGCTGAGTTTTCTGTGGCCAACCACCCCCAGGCGGTGTGTGACTGGAGGACACCTCAGAGCTGGGATTCCAGAACCCAGGGCTGGCCCTCTCCTACCACCACCCACACACCTGTCACCAGGCAGGACGTAAGCAGCCTTTCTTTCAGAGGTTCTCTCTGCCTTGCTGAAGAGTGGCTGGAGTTGGGGGGTGGGGGACATGGCCGCAGCCCTACTGGCGCCATGTGCACACCCACTGAGGGAGGGGTGAGGGGTGCAGACCCTCCAGCTGCCTCTGGCTGCCACCACCCAGCTGCCAGCCCTTCCCAGGGTGTGCGATGCCCCTCTGCGCCCTGCCCTGCAACCCGACCGTTCCCAGCTGTCCAGGGCCCCTCCTCGCCTCTGTTCCCCTTCCTGGGAAGGCTGGGAAGCCAAGGCCTTGGAGGCTGCGCAGGGCTCAAGCACCAGCTTAACCTAAACGTGTACTTTCTGATGGAGAAAAGGGCGAGGCTGGCTTTGGGCCTCTGGATGTCGTAGGACGAGTTCACAGTAGGGTGCAGACCGGAGGCCAGCCCTGGCCAGGGTGCCTCTGACCACAAGGATCTAAGGGAGACATCACCACCCCAATGCCCCTCTGGAAACCTGCCCATGCCGACCAGGGGGAGTGCTGGGAAGTGACAGGGCCCGTGGTGAGTGGGATGGCCACTTGGGTTATGGACTCTGGCTCCCCAAAGCCTGGGTTGACTGTACCTAAAGCACTTAAGATGCACTGCTCAAGACTTTACTGGGGTTTACTGGGGGGCCCACTAGAATCCCTCCCAGACAGGACTCTCAGCTCCATCCAGGCCCCACGGAGTGACCCCACTTCAGCGGGGGGCCAGATGCCCGGAGTTTGGGGTTGTCTTTGACCATGGCCTGCTTCTTTGGGCACACCATGTCAGCAGTCTCTTGGGGGATACTTCCCTCTGTCCCAGATCAGTGGGCAGTGAGTCCGGGGCAGAGCGGGTTTTATCCACTGATGGTGACATGGGGTAACTGGAAAGACTTTGGGTTACAGTGAGTGCCTGGCCTGGTCCAAGCAGTCCTAAATCCAAGAGACTCTCATGTCCTGGGCGGTCCTAGGGGCTCTGAAACCCCCCAACTCCCCATAAGAAGGGGGGCAGCTCAATGAACTGAGGACAGCAGTGGCCTGCTGGACATCTGGCCAATGAGGCATGGGCAGCTTCCCAGCCCCGTTCTGGCCTCAGAGCTGAAGGGTCTAAATGTAAACCCCACTCCTTGGCCACTTCCCTGGCCCTCTGGGACACTTTGAGAATTGCCTGGTTGGCATCGTGGGCAGCTGGGGTGGCAGCTGGGGCAGACTCACCACTGCTTTCCGGGAATACTGTCTAGGGAAAGAGAGGGGGGTGGGGCGGGGGCTGGGACACAGGACAGAAAACCTGTGAGTGTCCACGTCTGCTTCCAGAGACACCAGGCCAGTGACAGTCAGGGGGCAGTAGTGGAGACCCACATCCAGGATTTTAGAGGGCACAGGGGGCTGCGGTCAGGGGATGAGAGCCAGGCAGGCCCCAGGCTGCCTATGTCCACCAGGGCCAGTGCGGAGGCCTGCGTGGAGCACGGCGCCAGGCCTGCTGAGCGGCTCTCAGCCTGGGAGGGAATTCTAGACACCCAGGACATCTGATGCAAGCTGGGTGCACTCCATTCAGCGTAAATCTTCTCAGTGGCTCTGCCTGTTTCCATGGCGACCTGACAAGTGAAATTTTCCATCTCGGATGCCAAATGCCTGTGGATGAGGCAGAGCCTCCAAGGGTTACCAAATATAGACACAGCCCAGCAGGCTCTGGGGTCTGGGCCAGCGGTGGGTTCAACGTGGGAGCCGGGACCCTCTGGGGGCTGAGGTCCTCCTACCCAGAGGTTCAGGTGTCTGGCCTCTTCCTTTCAGGGGCGTCTCTAGGATATGGGAGGGGCTTGGTGGATGTGCTAGGCCTAGGCCATCTCCGGCTCTCATGCCTGGCTGCAGCCTGCAACCCTATGAACTGGGCTGCTCCTTGTCCCCAGAGGCGATACTGGGTGACTCCAGGCCGCCTCTGCTTTCCAGATTACACCTGGCATTCTCAACTCCCTATCGATGCCTGCAGAAGGCACACTGTGCCCTCACCACCTCGTAAACATTCCTGGTCCCCTAGCTTGGCTGTGTGTGGAAATGCGGGGCCAGGGCTGCGTGGCGTGGTGCAGCATGGAGTGGCTGGTGGCCTCCCGCTCCGCCCCTGGCGTGACCCGGCACTCACTCGGTCTGCAGCAGCTCGGGGTTGGGCACACACTGGAGCCGGTGCGACAGCAGCTGGAAGGCGCTGCTCTGTGGCAGCAGCATGAGCAGCCCATACAGGGCCTTGATCAGGTACGGGTTGTTCTTCACGTCCAGCAGCTGCAGGCGCAGATCTGTGGCAGGACAGAGCACGGGTCAGGGTGGGCACTGCCCGGGACTCCACCTGGCCCAGAACCCCTGGGGCTGGTGCTGGCTCTTCCAGAGGCCGAGGGCCCGGGCCAGCGCCATCCTTTAGGGGGAGGCCAGGGTTCCTTTAAGCCAGACAAGCCTTTACCCCCTCCCAGGAGTGTCCCGGCTTTCCTCGATGTCACCTTGCTTCCTACTACCCACCTGCCCATCTGTCTGGTCTTGAGCTTGGTGCCCCCAACCCAGGGCTGGCCAGGCCCCTCCCCCGCATGCTAGGCTATGTCTCTGTCCGAGCAGGCTCAAGGCTCAAGGCTTGGAGTGAACAGATTCCCGTCTGCTCTGCACGTGCCAGCAGAGCTATAAATAGGGGCGCCGGAGAGAAAGACAGTGGATTAGGACAGCTTTCAGGGAGCGCAGGATGGGAAGTGCTTTTGTGTGCAGCTAAACACACAGGAAGCCTGGGGGTGTCGGAAGGTGCTTCTGAAAGCCCGCTCACAGGCCCACCCTGCCAGCTGCTAGGAGGGGGGAGATACACCCTGATCTCTGCCCAGCACCCTCCCAAGTCTGGGGGGCCTGGCCACAGGAGTTCCAGCTTCCCCAAGACCCCAAGGGGGAGTGACCCAAAGGGCTTTGTTTTCCTGGAGCAGCCAGTCTAGGGGCTCCTGCACCCACGAGGCCTCCACTCTGTGGCTCACACCCTCGGTCCCAGGCTTGGTCACCCCATATGGCTCCTGCTGGGAGACCTTTTCCTATGAGTCTCTGCCCAACAGTCACTGGTTCTTGTGTCCCCCAAAAAGTCAGAGGGCCAAGGGCTGTACCAGTCTGTCAGATGCCATGGTCACCTGGTTCTGACAAGGTCTTTGGCCCAACGAGGCCTCTTGGCTCTTGGGGGGCAAGCCAGGCCTGACCCCGGGGTGAGTGAGCATGTTGGCCAGCTGGCAGCCCAGGCCCACCAGGCTTTAGAGTGCTCAGCTGTACGTGCTCCCTGGCCTGTTTGTCTGTCTCCAGGACATCTGTCCTTTGCTCCCTGCTCTCTGGGGACGTGAGCTGGTCAGTGGGCACGCAGGCTCTGCAGGTGCTCTCAGGCTCCTGCCGGGCGATCAGAGCTCTGCTTGGGTGACGGCCTGGCAGGAAGGCGGCTCTGGCGGGCTGCCTGGCCTCCCTCTGTGCCGTAAACACGCATGTCAGCGTGGCAGGCATCAGGGAGCAGGCGTCGTGCGTGCTGAGGCACCAAGAGCTGTGCTCTCCCCGCCAGCTGCCTCTTTGCACATTCTGCCTGGGTGTTACTCATCACGCAGCGCCAGCTGATGCCCAATTTCCTTCCGGGGAGGGGGGCGTGGCTCCCGCTCGCTTGGTCTTCCCTGCGGTCACCCCGTCTTGCTCTGAGTGACCCTGAGCTGCCCTCCGTCTCTGCACAGTCAGCCTGCCCATGCTGGCAACGCTCGGTCTCTTACATGTGAAGATGGGGCACTCGATCAGCTGCACCAGCTTGTCCACCTCTGTGAGGAAGTCCACTGTGACCTCCAGGTCCCCACTGGGCAGGTGGTCAAGGAAGTACGACCAGTGGGCCTGTGGGGACCGCGGCAGAGGAGGGGCGCTATGAGTAGAGTTGATGCCAACCCCCAGTTTCCGCCTGGTCCTAGACCTGGTGGTGGGGGCACCTAGGAGTGGGCCCCCGGGTGGGCCTGGAGCTCCGAGCACTGGTTCCTCTCCCCACCAGCCACTGTTCCCTCGTGCTCCTAGATCGCTCTGGCTGAACTGGCCTCTGCAGAGAGGCAAGATGTCCTTTCCCTCTTTGCATCTCTGCCCCTCTGGACAGAGGACCCTCCGTGCCTCCTGGGGCATGGGAGCCCCAGGTTCCTCTCCAACACTCTCCTCTCTGCACCTGGCTGGGCTCTGAACAGCTCTTCTCACAGCCCTGCAGCCTGTGGGGACATGGGGCTGGGGTGGGCTGGACGGTGCCCAGCAGTGCCAGGGTTAGGCCCACGTCATGAGCAGCAGAGCAGGCGACATCCAGGTTCTGGCTGTGAGACCCCTGAAGTCCCGCCTCCCCTTGCCTGCTCCACCTCCAGTACCAGAGTCTGCAGGCCAACATCTTTCTGCTCCCTGGTCTCCCCCATAAACTTCCCTGGAATGTACCCTGACAAGGGTCCTCCTCTGCTTTAAAGCCCTCAGGGGCTCTTCACACCCTAAGCCAGGCTCTGTGGTGCTGCTAGGGGTCCACTGAGGTCAGCTCTTCACCCTCACATCTCACCATGCCACACCCCATCTGCCACTCCACGCAACACCCCACAGACAGCCCTCCTGTTTGCCCTTCCAGGCTCAGTCTGGCCTCCTGCAGACCTGGATCGCTGCCACACCACCTGGCTCCGCTCTCTCCAGAGGCACCTGTCTCCTCCCTTAGCTGAGATGTCCTTCAGCACGCGAGCCATGACTTCCTCCTCCCCTCCCCTCCCTCAGCACCAGGCCTGCTACAGGAGCCACAACCTTCTGGAGCTGGTTTTTTCCAGCTGGGCAGCCCCCAGACGGTCCCATTTACTGTTAACAGTGCCCCCACCCTGGCTACCAATGCCCAACCCTGGAGCAGAAGCAAGAGTCCAGGGGGCTCTGGATGGCCAAACTCTTGCCTGCTCCCTCAGCGGCTGGACATACAGCCTGCGGCAAAGGATACAACTTCTGGATGAGGTCATAGGCGTGCCGGTAGTTCTGGGTGAGGAAGCAGAGGGACACTGTGGTGACGGGGTTGTGGCACCAGGAGCGATACAGGCAGCAAAACAGGTTCTGGCTCTCCTGTGAAGGGGGAATGCATGAGAAGTTGTCACCATCGGGGCCCTGGAGAGGAAAGGGCCTAGGGAATCTGAGGACCGAGGGCCCCGTGAGCAGGCCGGGGAGCCAGCTCAGCACTGAGCTGTTTGGCAGCCCAGCTGGGAACAAGCTGTCACAAAGGAAACGCTGACAGTTCCTCCTCAGACCCTTCATTACCTCCCCTCCGAGGAGCAGCAGAGCAGTGGGGCCTGGTCAGGAGGGAGCCCGCTTGTTTCTGCCCTTGGCAAAATAACCGCCACTGTCCTCTCCAGAACCCTGTGGTCCCAGCGGGCAGGGGGGGCCAGGGAGGGGTGTGGCAGCAGAGGCTTCTCCACAGTCGGGCTCCCTGCGTACACCCTTGCCCACCTTACAGAGCAGCCCACCTTGTACAGCTGGGAACCACCCAGGAGTTGTACCACACTGGGGAGCCCCTGTCCCTCAGGAAGTCTTCAGGCCTCTGTGAACATGTGCAAAGAACCACAGGGTGAAGGCAGGACTTGTGGCCTGGACAACTCTGAGCCACTAGGCCCCAGATGCCCTCAGACATGAGCTGTGTGTTCTGGAGCCTTCTGGGATGAGGTGGGCAGAGGAATGACAAAATCCCAGGCTGGGGGATGGAACCTCTGGACATACAGGCACATCAATATGATGCTCACTAACCTGCACAGGGTCCCCCTCTCCTGCTCTCAGACAGAACAGTCACAACACCCTGCCTGTTCCCTGTGACCAGCCTGATGGCAGGCAGCAGGGTGACACCTGGCTGTGTCCAGCTGTTGAGGGGAAGGGCAAGGAGGGTATTACTCCCAATGCCTCTGTGGGGTCTAGTCTGAAAGGCACTGCTGTCTAGCTGGCCTGGGCTCTGGAAGCACTGCTGGTGCTGGTGGAACCCCCTGTGTTAGAGGAGGGTCTATGGGACAGGATGGGTCAGTAAGTGGGAAGGATGTAGCTATGAGAGGTGGCTGTGAGGACCTTGGAGGTGGGCATGTGCACCCTGGAGGTGGGCATGTGAACCTGGAGGTGGGCATGTGGACCCTGGAGGTGGGCATGTGGTCCCTGGAGGTGGGCATGTGGTCCCTGGTGGTGGACATATGAATCTGAGGGTGGGCATGTGGACCCTGGAGGTGGGCATGTGAACCCTGGAGGTGGGCTTGTGAATCTGGAGGTGGGCATGTAGACCCCGGAAGTGGGCATGTGGACCCTGGAGGTGGGCTTGTGAACCTGAGGGTGGGCATGTGGACCTTGGAGGTGGGCATGTGAACCTGAGGATGGGCATGTGGACCCTAGAGGTGGGCATGTGGACCCTGGAGGTGGGCATGTGAACCTGAGGATGGGCATGTGGACCCTGGAGGTGGGCATGTGGACCCTGGAGTGGCTGTGCAGAGGTGCTTATGTGGACCCTACAAGTAGGCGTGGACCCTGGGGGTGGGGGTAGGTGCATGCATATGGAAGTGGGCATGTGGGCTCGGAGGTGGACATGGATTTCACAGAAGTATCTCCAATGAACAAGCCATAGCCTATCACATGGCTGGAGTTGACATGAAGCCCTTCACACCGGCTGGGGTGAGGAAGTGACACATACATGTCACTGAGTGTCAACCCCCCAAGAGCCTGGTGGGCTGAGAGCTGGCCTGGCACTGCTGTCTGCTTTGCCCAGTCAGAGCCATGGGCACAGAGTACCAGAGTTTTTAGGTCCTTGAGCTGGTTCCTCAGCTGGAAGAGCTCCGTGGAGGTCAGCAGGATGGTGTTGAGGGTGTGGACCATGGTTGAGGCAAACTTGAGATCCTCCTCTCGGAGCAGGATGTCTGCCATCGAATGAAAGATGTTCTCCGCGTTCAGCAGGAGGCACAGCTGCCTGGAAGGGAGTTGTGGGGAGGGAGGTTATGGAGCAGCCCATGTGGAGGCTATGCTAGGGGCCCATGTCCAGGGCAAATCTGCTCCCTCCTGGGCTACTGTGAAACCCTAATGCCGCAGTGCAGGAGGCCAAGAGGCATGCCTCCATTCCAACCCCAGCTATTCCAGAGTTCCACGGGATAAATGGTCCCTCTCGTCCCACCTCAAGAGAAGCAGCAGGGCGCTTTCTGGTCCTGGTGCCACAGGCCTCTGCAGGCAATGGGGAATGCCCCATGCAACAAGGCACCTCATCCCCTTTCAGGCTTTGTCTTCACGGAGCTGGTCACCAGCTGACAAACTGTACACATCTCAATTATCTGCTTTCTGGCCCCCACCCCTGGAGGCCCCTTGAGCAGGGTGAGCAGGGACTCGGAGGCTCCCTGGTAAATAACAGAGTCCACAGGACAAGGCTGAGCGAGGCAGAAAGGCTGCACCTTCACCGCAGATACCTGCATGCTGGTGGGGGTGTAGTTGGGGGAGGTTTAAGAGCTGGACTGAGGTCAGGGGGATGGTGAGGGGTAGAGGATAGCTCTGCAGACCTCTGCCCTTTGCATCATTTCCTTTATGAGTGTCTTGGTGGGAGCAAGAGTATGGAGACCCCCTCTAGGGTCTCCAGGGAAGGGTGACATCACCAGTGACAAACGGCTTACCAGGACAGGCTCAGGATATTCCTAATCTACTGCCTTCAAAAGGCCTACAGAAGGACAACCTCCCCAAAAGGCTGAGCTCTCCAAAGACAACCTCACCTGTGGCATCCTGGGGTGCCCTGAGGCCAGGCAGGGGTGATGAGGGGTCACTGGTATGTGAGCAAATGGGCCTGCTTTCTAATCATGGCTCTGGGACCCTGGGGACTGTGCTGGCAATGGTATCCTGCCCTCACTGTCCCCGTGCAGTCTCTATCCTGGGAAGCACCCGCAGAGCAGGACTTGGGCTGGCAGAAGTGGGTGCCATGACCCCGCCTGCTTTAAGCCAACAAGCCTGAAACACATTCCCGTTGCACAGGTTGCTGAACTTGTACACATTTCCTATCTCCCTTGGAATTCTAACCTGGCCTTGGGGTCCAATGAGAGAAGATCGCCTCACCCCTGGCTCCGGCAAAACCCTTGGCGTTAGGAAACTATGAGACCAAACCACAAAGCACAAATAGCAGGCAGGCCATCTCTAGTCCGGCCCAGCCGGAAGCAGCCGATTTGGGCAGAAACTACCCGAGAAAACAGGGCAGAGGGCCGGAGCTGGGTGGGTGGGAGATTCAGGGAGTGGGGTATGTCCTGGAACAAAGGGACTTCCTGTGTGCTGTGGACTCCCCATAACTGGGGGAGAGGGGTGGGCCTCAGAGCCGGGATCCCAGATGCCTGCTGTGCAATCTTAATTCCTCTCCACGTCTCCAGCTCTAATGGGTGTGCTCCCCACCTGTGCAATGAGGGAGGACTCCAGCCTCCCCCTGACCATGATGCTCCCTGCCTGTGCAATGCGGGAAGACTGCAGCCCTAAAAGGGGTGCTCCCTCCCCGTGCAATGGCGGAGAACTCCAGCTCTAACTGGGGTGCTCCCAGTCTGTGCGATGGAGACGACGACTCCAGCTTTAACTAGAGTGCTCCTGCCTGTGCGATGGGGGAGGATTCCAGCTCTAACCAAGGTGCTTCCCTGTCTGTATGATGAGGGAAGACTCCGGCTCTAACCAGGGTGGTCCCTGCCTGTGTGATGGAGAGAACTCCAGCTCTAACTGTGGTGCTCCCCCTCTGTGTGCTGGGGAGGACTCCAGCTCTAACTGTGGTGCTGTCTGTGCAATGGGGGAGGACTCTAGCTCTAACTGTGGTGCTCTCTGTGCGCTGGGGAGGACTCTAGCTCTAACTGTGGTGCTGTCTGTGCGCTGGGGAGGACTCCAGCTCTAACTGTGGTGCTGTCTGTGCAATGGGGGAGGACTCCAGCTCTAACTGTGGTGCTCTCTGTGCGCTGGGGAGGACTCCAGCTCTAACTGTGGTGCTCTCTGTCTGTGCAATGGGGGAGAACTCCAGCTTTAACCATGGTGTTCCCTGTCTATATGGTGGGGGAGGACTCCAGCTTTAACCATAGTGCTCCCTGCCTGTGCGCTGGGGAGGACTCCAGCTCTGTGATGCTCCCCATCTGTGTAATGGGGAAGACTCCAGCTCTAACTGTGGTGCTCCCCGTCTGTGCGCTGGGGAGGACTCCAGCTCTAACTGTGGTGCTCCCCGTCTGTGCGCTGGGGAGGACTCCAGATCTAACTGTGGTGCTCCCCGTCTGTGCGCTGGGGAGAACTCCAGCTCGAGCTGGAGTGCTCCCTGCCTGTGTGGCGGGGAGGACATGCACAGGGGCAGTGTTTGGTGAACAGTACTACTGGGCTGAAACCCTCACAGTGTGAGAGAACCAGCTCACAGGTTGGAGGAGGTAGGGCTGGCTTTTCTTCCTAAGCACTTCCTGTCCCCTCCTGGCCTACCCACCCCAGGATAAGCCCTGTCTCTGGGGCTATAGGACAGAAATGTTCTAGAAGGGCGGGCTGGGAGCAAGGGGAGCATTCTGACAAACGGCCACAAATGCCCGTCGCCTGCAGCTGCTGCCGTCTCCATGACAGGGGCCGGCAGCTGAAGCCCCTGCCAGGCAGCTCTGCAGGGGTCAGGGCATGGAGGGTGGGGTGGCATGCACATTGAGGATGAGGGAGGGTGCCGGCGCATAGCTCAAGAGGGGTGTGCGAGAAACACTGGGAAGGCTGACTGATGACAAGGCAGAACTTTCTGGAAGCATTTCTCTCTGCAGTTAGTGATGCTTCTCTCTCCAATTTTCTTGCCCAGTAGGCACTGTGGATGTCACAGGCCCACATCCTGGCTTTAGTGTCTTCGGCCTCCCCCTCACTGCCACCCACGTGCCTAAACCCCAGTGATCTCCCCAGACACTGGGCATGCTCGGTGTCCGCCCTCTGGACACATTCTGCCTCAGCCCCCTTGGTCACCTTGGCCCTGCTGCCACAAAACTCACTCTGGGTGACCTTCTGATGTCTCCCAACCTCCCTCCCTGTGGCTTCTTCCACCCTACCATCTACTTTCCAGGCAGCAGTGGGGACAGTCCTGAAACAGGTCAAATCAGCATATAAAACTGCTCAATGACCTCCAACTGGGTACACGACACAGCCACACTACTCCATGGACTACAAGACCCGTCCGGCGGGCTCTGCTCTGGCCTCAATTCCCAACAACAATCCAGTTTCCCTTGGCCTGTCTTCCGTTGTGCTGTGGCCTGTCTAGGGCAGCTGGAGCCCAGGACCTGCTGGCTAGCTCCGTGAGTCCTGCAACAATCAGACCAAACGATTGGTAAAAATAGGTGTAGGAGCATGTGGGGTGGCATGTCCAATTGATTACGTAGTTATTTGTATGGGGCTATGGACATTACTGAAGGGGACAGTTCCCCTTTATGAAGCAGGTCAAAGGGAGTTCCAGTGGCCTAGGATAAGAAGGTGCGCTGCAATCCCAAGGCATGCAGTTCAAATCCACTAGCTGTTCTGCAGGAGAAGGATGGGCAATCTCCTCCTGTATGATTAACTGCCTCTGAAAAATCACTGGAGTGTCAGCTATGGCTTGGTTCCAACTCAACAAAAACAAAAACATGAAAATTATCGATGAGGACAGTCCCTCTTTCTGAAGTGGGTAGAAGTCAGACTCGGCCACCCTCACGTTGCATCTGCTCCTTTTGCAGTGTGACTGAACCCTGAGTCACAGTTCTTTCCATGGAGGATGGAGGAAGGACAAAATACGCACCAGGCTGCCTCACTGAGGCCCAATAATTAAAACCCCACAGGAGAGGAGGAGAGGGGAAAGCCAGAATGAGCCCTTGCAGGGAGAGGCAGCTGGAGGACAAACATCACCACCCATGAGCCCCATGTACTCTGCTATGTGCAGCTCCCCCTGCTTCAAGGGGCCCTTTACCTGGCCTCACCTATGGGACACCTTTTTCTAAGCCCTGGTGGCACAGTGCATGGCATACTGGTGCTGGCCTCAGGGGAGGGGAAGGTGCACTGGGGTGGGTGACCCAGGCCCTGTTTTAAAGAATTCTAATTTCCAAGATAGGATGCCCCGGCCTCCTAGGAGGACAGAGACACCAGGTGAGAAGGTGATGGAGGAGGAAACAGGCCCACTTTTCACGCCAGAGTCACGACTGGACCTGCATCGCCTCAAGGCTGCAGCCTGGTCCCGCCCACCCACCGGGTTCCCACATATCTGGGAAAGAAGCAGCTGAGGTTCAGAGAGGATCCACGCTGACAGTCAAACAAGGGAACCAGGGGAAGAGGAAGGGAGGATTTAACTCTGCCAGAGTCAAATTCCAGAGGCCATCTGAGGCCCTCACTGCCCGTCACGAGGGGGCCCCATCCCTGGCTCTCAAGGCTGCTGCGTCATCACTTGTCTGCTGAGCTCCAGCCCGGCTGGCGTTGCCTGCCCTCCTCTCTCAAGCATCAATAATGGATCATGCTGGCAAGTACTGAACACTTGCACACACACACACACACACACACACACACACACACACACACACGTGCGCGGTTCTAGCAGGTCAGAGATCATGAGAGTGCTGCGATAGGGGGCAGGGTTTTCATCTCTTCACAGAGTTGTTCTAACTCCCAGTTGACTTAATGGCAAACCAAGCACACACATTTATCATTTTTTTTTAGGGGTGGTGGTGGTGGTGGTTGTGTGCCGTGGAGTCAGAATCTACTCATAACTGACTTTTCAGCGGATTTTCAGAGGCAGTAAACCACATGGGAGGAGACTGTTCATCCTCTCCTGCAGAGCATCTGGTAGATTCAAACCTTAAGCCTCTGGGATTGCAGCTCAGCGTTTTACCACGAGAGCTCTCTGTCTGCCCCTTTTGGAGGGGGGCTATCTATTTTTTTCCCTATTATACTTCAACCTTGTGGTCACTAAGCTACTCTTGCTAGATAATTGACTTAAAAACCTAT